GAAATGCGGTCTTAAGCAGACCTTCCAGCAATCAATAGGCATTACAAAGCATAGGTCCCTTATTCTGTCTGCTGTCCTCTGCAGTGCTTGCTTGTTTTCAATGCTTTGTTTGTGCTCATCCCACCAGCAACCATATAGTTTTTCTTTCATGACGCTGCTTTGGGCTGTTTGCTGGAATTCCGCCAGAATCTTCTTGGAGGCAAGATTGAGTGGGGTTGAATGTATGTGCAATGCAAGGTGGGCAGAAGATGTAAGCATTGTAACCTCTTCTTTTGTCACTCAGTATCACTGCCCTGAAAAAGGGACATGGGTGGCGCTGTGGGTTAAACCACAGAGTCTAGGACTTGCTGATCAGAAGGTCGGCGGTTCGAATCCCCACGACGGGGTGAGCTCCCATTGCTCGGTCCCTGCTCCTGCCAACCTAGCAGTTCGAAAGCACGTCAAAGTGCAAGTAGATAAATAGGTACCGCTCCAGCGGGAAGGTAAACGGCGTTTCCGTGCACTGCTCTGGTTCGCCAGAAGCGGCTTAGTCATGCTGGCCACATGACCTGGAAGCTGTATGCCGGCTCCCTCAGCCAGTAAAGCAAGATGAGCGCCACAACCCCAGAGCCGGTCACGACTGGACCTAATGGTCAGGGGTCCCTTTACCTTTACCTTTATCACTGCCCTGAAGATTTCACCAACTATGAGATGACCTTTTTTGTGTTTGTGGTACACTGTGCTAAGATAAGGTTTGATTTAGCATATAATCTGAACCCTTCACTAATCATGAACCAAGATTATTATTTTTTTGCAGTTTACTAAATATAGGAGCATAGGAAGCTACCTTATACTAAGCTCAATATTGTCTACATCACTCTTGGTGGGCCATTTTGACAGAAAGCCTGGCATCACTCTAATATCAGGTGACCCATTTTTCCTTTGTAGTGCAGCGAGCCACTCTACAAAGGAAAATTCAAACCCAGGGGTTTTGAAATTACTGCCAATCAGTTGATTTGCACTGATTTCAAGCTCTGCTTTCTGCAGGGGGTCAGCAGCATTCCTGAGCCCCTCGTAGGGGAGTTTGCTCTGTGGCCTGTGCCTTAAAGAGACAGCCTTAGTTGGTTTGCTAGCTTACGTGTTCTCAGTGTATGGTAAGGCTTGTTGACAGGATCCAGGTATGTCCTATGCCTATAAGGGAGTGGTTTGTAAACCACTTTTCCAGAATGCCAGTTCTTGCGATGTTAGCAGCTGTGTGGTCAGGCTTCCAGGCTGAATTCTTGATCTCTTAGATTTGCATCAATCATGGGTACAGCTGTGACCACTTGCTGATGAAAAGGAGGTGTATTTATGCACAATTCATCCAGGAAAATAAATCTTGTGAAGTGTATCTGGAATCAGAGCACATAACTCTTGGAAAGCTTGCAATCATTGGGCTTTTGCTTTCTCCTGTACTATTAGAATATTTAGTTGTAGAATATCAAGAAGAAAACCACCTTAACCGCCTTCCTCATTTCCAGACTACATTTCCACCTGTTTTGTGTTATACTATTCCTGCTTTTAAAAAAAAAAAATTAAAGATGATTATGTGCTAAAAGTGTGGAGGTATTCGTTTATTTTTGTTAAAAGATGTGGTTTCATAACTAGTTTATGAGGAATAAATCTTGTTTCTCAATAATGCAGCACCCACAGCACTGACAGTATTATTGAGCATAGCATAAAAACGCATATAGCTGCATCTATCCTAATATTGCATTCTTAAAGCAAGCCACCCGCCCACCAGTCATAAAGTGGGGGGGGGCAACCCCCCTTAGTTCTGCACTGTTGTTTTTTTCCTGCAGTTTCATTATGCCCTGAATTTTACTCCATTTATCTTCTGAGAAAAACCCAGAATGGCACATATGGCACATTTTAGAACATTGATAGAAGGTTTTGCTGATGGGTCTTACACTTGGTTTTCTGAATATTTCTTCCTTTGAATTATTTTATTTTTATTTTGCCACATTGTTCCATGCTGGAATGGCAGCCCAATCAGTTGATCAATAATTATTGATTATAATTATTTATTATAATAAATAGCAGTTTGAAAGGCACTGCCTGCTTGGAAGAATCAAATGTTGTCCCTGTATTATTATTTTTATTATTGCCTTTCTGCGTCAGCAAATGAGTGCTCTAGCAGACAGTAGAATAATATTTTGAAAGAAACAGATATACAGCCCCTCCACCCTGTTTTCACAGATATTTTTTCCTGCCATTTTAATGGTTTGCTTTTCTCTAGCTTTCTGTGTGATCTCAGGGCTCAGCTTGATGCAAATATGCCTTATTGTTTGAAAAATCACTTACAATTAAAATTTGTTTTCATAATTCAGAACTCCCAAATCTGGGTAGAAATTTAGCTGGAGAGCACTTTGTAAGCATGCCTATGGGAAACTTGGAACAACTGTGCCAAATGAGTATAATTAAAGGATGTGTAGGACGCGGGTGGTGCTGTGGGTTAAACCACTGAGCCTAGGGCTTGCCGATCGGAAGGTCGGCAGTTCGAATCCCCGTGACAGGGTGAGCTCCCGTTGCTCGGTCCCAGCTCCTGCCCACCTAGCAGTTCGAAAGCACGTCAAAGTGCAAGTAGATAAATAGATACTGCTCCGGTGGGAAGGTAAATGCCGTTTCCGTGTGCTGCTCTGGTTCGCCAGAAGCGGCTTAGTCATGCTGGCCACATGACCCGGCTCCCTCGACCAGTAAAGCGAGATGAGCGCCGCAACCCCAGAGTCATCCACGACTGGACCTAATGGTCAGGGGTCCTTTACCTTAGGACAGAAAGGGGTATTGGCCCTTCTGTGGCCGCCTATTCAGGTCTTGGGACTGGGGAGGAGGTGGACTAAAGCAGTTGACTTCCATAGGGTAATAGTGCCATACTGAAAATGATTTTTCCCTTAATTAGTCTGTGGCCAGAAATAATTCACCCTATATCGCTGCCTTTATAGCCTCTTGGTTTCTAAATACTTTGGCATGATTAACTTCATCAGCCATGTGAGGGGAAAATGTGAATATGTGTCCTAAGCCCCACAGACTCAACTTCAGCCACTTCAGAAGGAGGAGCAGGGTTTTTGGCTCCTCTCCATGGCCTCCCGGCAATAGAGAGCCTTCGTGAAGGCTGGGGAGCATTTGGAGTAGCTGAGGGGGTTGAAGCAACTCAGGAGGCAGTGGCATTCTTGTTAAGTGAGTGCATCATGTATTATATTTAAAGGCTTTGTGAGCAGGGTGTTGAAACTGTTGGGACATCTTCATTGTTTCTGTCCAGTCCTGAATTCTTGCCTGATTACTGAACCTCTGGATCATGGCTCCTGAACTCTGTGTCTGCTGCCACGCCTGTGTTGATATTTGTCTGAATAAAGATATCTTATCTGCACATTAGAGCGTTTGTCTGCATGTATTGGACATGAAGCAGGACAATATGAGCAGCTATTTTGTTAGACTACTCGCACCAAAGTTAGCATCATTGCAAAGGTAATAGCATTTTGTGCAAGAGGTGGATTCTGTGTCAAAACATGTCCCATTATTCAAATTCAAATTACGTTTTGAGACTCTCTTTAGAAAACTGTACAGACCAGAGTCATTGTATTAGCACTTGAAAAAATGCCAATGATGAAAATGTCAACCTTGGCATGTTTAGATGAAGTATAATATTGTGCTTGGCAAACTACTTAAAGTGAAGGTTATGCACACCTTAAAAAGAAAAGCCTGGGCATAGACATGCTTAGGTTTGAGGTTTCAGGGTTTGTGTGTGTGGTGGGGGAGGGTGCCTTCCATTGAAGCATAACCCTGGTTCAAGAAAGACAAAGGAAAGTAGTTATTTGCATGACACATTATAAAATATAGCACAGACACAAGATGTAGCGATGGTCACTGGCTGGGGTGGCTTTAGAAAGGTAAGAGAACTATGAGGATAACAAAGTAAGACCTCCTGGTTTAGAGGCAGATGTACCTCTGTATACCTATTTCCTGATAAGCAAATGTTCGGGAAGGGCTATTATTCCCATGTACTCTTTGTGGACTTCCTGGAGGCAGCTGTTTCACCACTGCGGGAAGCACAATCCTGCATTACTAGATAGCACTCAAATCTGTATCCAGCAAGGCTCTTATGTCCCTGTTATTGTGCCCCAAGGAAACATAACCTCTGCACCAACCAATTACAGCCTAAATTGTGCTTTTAAAAGAGATTTCACAAATATTGTGAAATGAGCTCATTTATTCTGTAATTATACATGCATTCTGAACTTGTCATTTGAGACCTTACGTATATAATTGGGAACATTTTTTTATGGACCGAGAAGCATTGATGGCTTGGAATGAGAATAATTTAGCCCAGAGGTTGTCAACCTTTTTGGGTCCACGACTCCCTTGACCAACTACATTCTTTCTGCGACACCCCTATGGGGCTCAGGTGTCTGGTTATGTCACCCCTTGCCTACAGAGCCGGCAGCCCCTCACCGCTTTTTGAACACCTTCCTTTGTTGAGTGTCCCTCAGCCTCCTCTCCTCTCCTCTGCTCTCCTCTCTCCTTGGGAGTCCTCTGGGAAGCCACTGCTGCCACCCATGGTCTCTGAGCTGCCCACCCTGCACCAAAAAGAGGTGCCTCCTTACATTGCCCCACATGTGCCTGGGAAGCACCCCCGGCCAGTCCCAGAGACACCATTCACCTGGGCAGTGTGTAGCCAGGGCTGCTGCAACAAACAGCCATGCAAGCCTTTGGGAGGCAGAGACACGAGAAGGCATCGGGGAGGGAGGGAAGGAAAGAGGGACAGTGGCCAGTGTTGCCCACGGCACCCCTGACCATCATTCAAGGCACTCCAAGGTGCAACTGCACACTGGTTGAAAACCACTGATCTAGTCTATTATTGTATTCCAAATAGTAGCTGGTCAAATCCCTCTGCGAAACTCACAAGCAGGGCATGAAGGTGGTGGTTCCTAGCCTCTGACCCTTGGAGATGTTGCTTTCTATGAAACAGCAGTGTGGTGGCAGGTGGAGTGATATGGCTTAGTAATAGGAGGCAGGAATAAATGAGTTGGATAAAACAGGGTTGCATTGTGTGGCAGTGTGTTTTTTTCCAGTGTCCAAAGGAAGCCTTGATGCCTGATGGGAAATCCCCATAGATTAGCCAATACATGGCTGAATTACTGCAAGAGGAAATCTGTGGAGATTTCATGTGGCTAGCAGGTCTTGGACTTAATGGAGTTATGCATTCATTCACACATTCCAGTCTTGTGTATGTATAAAACAATCTCATGCTAGCTGAAGGTGTGTCAAATGTTTTAGTCTAGAATTTCAGGCTAGCAATGTTGATGTTTGGCACATTATCCTATTACCTCCAAGCAAGCTATTCTCTATAACATTTGACAGACAGTACATGATGAGGTTGAGATCTGTAATTTAATCACTAAGAGTCTGATGTGATGTGTACTTTTATTTAGAAGAGGGCAGATCCATCATCAAGGCTGCAATTTTAGTCTTATACTTGACACCAGTCTTCCCAGTGACCCAGTGCATTAATGAATAATACCTTTCAACCATTGACCCCTGAATATATTGAAACTGTTCCTCCATGTCATGCTCCTTTCAGGCTGTCCAATAGCAGAGTAAATGTCAGTAGTGAGTTAGCTTTTGCAGTGACATTTATAATGTTTGAAACAAAGTGCATTTTAAATGCCAGTTTAATTTTTCTTTTACAAATGATAGCCATGAATTTTCTTCAGACAAGCTGCAAAGCTTATTTATTTATTATTTATTAAATTTGTATACCACCCTTCATCTGAAGATCACAGGGCAGTTTGCAACATAAACATACAAAATGAGAATACAAATCAAAAAAAGCTGCCCAGTGTCTAGGTTGTGGTTGTAGCTAGAGTCCAGGTTGGTGATGAGTTGCAGAGCTTGGCAGGCCGGTAATAGTGAGGAGTGTGCAGATGTGACCCAACTTCAGTACCTGGGACAGCGCAATGTGGTCTAGAACCAAAACTATGGTTATCTAGCAGAGGCCCGTCTAGAGAGCAGGTCACCTGGAGCGATCTTCCATATGTGAGCAGAAGTGTGTCTTCTTGGACCTTCGTCCTTGGAGGAGACAAGGGATAATGGTCTTGCTTCTGAAATGTATTCTCTGGTGAGGCTGGTATGTTTTTTGCTGTTTCTAGCCCTGATGTGATTGTGGAGTTGCTGGTGAGCAGTAATTGGTATCCAAGGACAATGTAAGAAGAAGCATTATTGGGAGTAGTAGCCAGAGGAAGCATGATCCACTGAGGCTCACCTTCCTTTTCATCCAAGGAAATTTGCACAAGAGGGGCTGCCTCACTTAATCTCTCTTCTAATGCAAAAATATTAATCTGAGTGTTAGGACACAGCAGCACACACTCTCACTGGACATAAAGCAGAGGAGAGAGCAGTATGTATATTATATGGCCCAGCCTTGCATGCCTACCTTAAACAGTAAATTGTTAAAAGAAGATGAAGAAATCAAATACACTTCAGGTACTAACAATTTTAACTGTTTGTTTAGAACCATTGCATCATCCTGAAAAATGTTAAGACAATTTGCTCTCTCTCTTTTTTTTAGGGCATTACAGGAATTGGTAATTATGTACCTTCAGGAATGTGCAGAGCTGATGGATTAGGACAATGATGTACACTTAGGGCAATACATTTAAATTTAAAGTGAAAGGTTTCTGACACAACACATATATTACACAGAGGTTGTTTCAGAGATGAGTACTTGGACGCAGACCAGTCATTCAATTCATTTTCCTCTGACCTTGATGCTGTTAAGTTGATTAAGGAAGCTTATGGCTGAAACATAGTTTCTCCACACTCCTAAACTGTCTTGTGGCCACCTATGTGACAGACCCAGGTCCAGCATTCTTATCTTTATACAGAGATTGGGGAGTGGGGCAGGTCTGCATATCATGACTGCCACATGGAGGCAGCACAAAACAACTTTAATCTGGTAGCTGTAACAAGTTTGTTGTTGTTGTTGTTTAGTCGTTTAGTCGTGTCCGACTCTTCGTGACCCCATGGACCACAGCACGCCAGGCTCTCCTGTCTTCCACTGCCTCCCGCAGTTTAGTCAAACACATGCTGGTAGCTTCAAGAACACTATCCAACCATCTCGTCCTCTGTAGTCCCCTTCTCCTTGTGCCCTCAATCTTTCCCAACATCAGGGTCTTTCCCAGGGAGTCTTCTCTTCTCATGAGGTGCCCAAAGTATTGGAGCCTCAGCTTCAGGATCTGTCCTTCCAGTGAGCACTCAGGGCTGGGGCTGGGGCTGGGGGTGGGGTGAGGTTATGTATTGATGCACCAGCCAAGTTCTTTTGAGCACCCCAGTTCCTAACCCTGAGCTGGGATACTGGTAGCACATTACATTTAAAACAGCCATAGGTAAGTCCGTCTTCGTCTGATGAAAACTCTGAAGCTTCCCCAGAGATGGGCAGAGAAAGCTGGAGTGGAATCAAGATACATTTCTCCATCCATCCATGGTTTATTATGGTTGATCTCATTTTCCCTTTAGCAGCTTATTGTTTTGGGACAAATAGACACTAAAGAAAAGACTTAGCAAAGATAAACAAAGGATGGGTGGAGAAAGGAGGCCAACAGTGATGGATTCCAGTCTCTTGAAAAGCTTTGGAATTCTCACCAGTCAGATCCTGGCCTCTGTGTATATACATTTCTTGTGATGTGTAATGTAAAATGCTTATTTCTAGGTACATCTGTTGTCCTTAATTACCCCTGTGCTGCTTTAGGGCCTGGTATAGCATAAATGGACTTAGAGCAAGCCTATAGTCCTTGACAGGAGGTTGTGTATTATGTCTGCACTCAAAATTGGCTGTGTATCTTACAGCCTCTGTAATTACATGAACAATAGGATAGTTCTTGGCCTCCTTATACTTCTCATGATCAGTCGTGAGTTGTGGTGTCATCTAAGAAGTGGCTGGTTTATGGCCTGTCAAACAAGTAGGCTAAAAAGCAAATATTTATACACATGGGCCGGAGATTTAGGAATAAAACTGAGGGCACTAGTGGACTATTGAGCATTAACTGTGCTCTGTAACAATGAGTCTTTCTGGAAAGTGGTTCCCTGCAGAACAGCTGACATCAACAATGTCTTCCTCTTCAGCATCTTGCAGTTGTCAAGCTCTGCACAAAAGGTTCAGCTAGAAATATTCAACCACATGGAAGAAGTAGAGACGGTTGTCAGGACTTGTAAATAAATGCTCGACCACTGAATAATAAACAGATGTTATGTTATTAAGCAATAATCCCAATAACATATTAATGATAGCTCTAAATCCTGAGGCTATAAACAACTTAAAATTCTTTTTCTGTATTCCCTGTCTTCTCTGTCTCTCTCTCAACATGCTCTGACTCACTTCTCTTTCCTAACCAACTCTAGTAGCTGAATTCAGTGCATCACAACTGCCTTGGACTACCTCTAACTCTCAAGCATTTCAAACATTCTGAAAGAGTAGGGTGTTACAGAGCACGGAAGAGTTAGACCACATATGGGGCATGTGAGACCTGTAACAAAAAGTTGCAGCGTGTGGTGCTCTTGTTTAGTATTCCAGCTGGTTAGCAACACCCTCATCCAGGATACTCAATTTCACTCTCTTGCTCCCCCTGATCAGTCAGCACTCTGTTGCCACTAAGCACACTCTGTCCTCATTGGGCTGTTTTTAGCCCTTCTCTCCTGAGCTTTTAACAAGCTGGTTTTGTATTTTTCCAGCCTTGGGCTTCCTGTCGGTTAGATTACGGCAACACATTGTACATAGGACTGCTTCTGAAGATGGTTTGGAAACTTCAGCTGGTGCAGAATTTAGCAGCCAGGTTGTTCACTGGGGCAAGACGGTTTAAGCATATAACACCAATCTTGCCCCAACTGTAAAGGTAAAGGGACACCTGATCATTAGGTCCAGTCGTGGCCGACTCTGGGGTTGTGGTGCTCATCTCGCTTTAATGGCCGAGGAAGCCAGCATACAGCTTCCGGGTCATGTGGCCAGCATGGTTCTAGCGAACCAGAGCAGCACAAGGAAACGCCATTTACCTTCCTGCCGGAGTGGTACCTATTTATCTACTTGCACTTTGACATGCTTTCGAACTGCTAGGTTGACAGGAGCAGGGACCGAGCAATGGGAGCTCACCCCGTCGCGGGGATTCGAACCGCCGACCTTCTGATCAGCAAGTCCTAGGCTTTGTGGTTTAACCCATAGAGCCACCTGCGTCCCTCCAACTGTAGTGGCTACTAATTAGTTTCCAGTCCCAATTCAAAGAGCTGGTTTTGATCCATAAAGCCTTACACAGCTCAGGACTGCAATACTTCAAGAACCACCTCTCCCCATATGAACCAACCCAGACCCTTAGACAATCATCTGAGGCCCTTCATTGTGTGACCCCTCCACAAGAGGTCCAGAGGGTGGCAACACAAGAACGAGAATTTTCTGCGGTGACTCCCCATTTGTGGAATGCTCTCCCTAGGGAGGCTCACCTGGCTCCGTTATTATATATTTTTAAATACCAGGCAAAAACATTCCTCTGTTAATGTATTGAATGTATCTATGTGGAGTTTATTGTCTGTTTGCTTGGTTGGTTATAAATCTCTTTGGATTGCTGTGGGCAAAGTTAATTGCTCCCAAAATTTAATGAATAAGAACAGTGCTTTTTTTCCTTAAAAAATGTTTAGGGGTACTCTCATTTTGACTCAAGAAAACCACCATTTTATAGTTCAAATTGGGAAAAATAAATACAGTTAATGGACAAAAGTACAAAGATTCACAAAATGTTTAGGGGTATGTGTACCCCTGTACCCCACCAGAAGAAAGCACTGAATAAGAATAATAATTCCATCAAACTGGTCGATAACCTCCTTATTGTGCATGGGTGACTTTGTCTACATTAGGAGCCATACTCATTTCTGAACTTCAGAAACAGAAGGAATGATTACTGTGTCCTGCCACCTGCAAGGATCCCTCTAAGTGTAATATTGGGACATTTCACTCCTCCTTGCTATTATCAGAGTTGGAAGCAGAGTTTACCCTCAATATCTTCATTAACTGGAAAGTTGGACACCTCATGCTTTGGAACAATGGTGGCTTTTTACAGTGTCCAGATCCTCCTTGCGTCTGTTTGGTTTCCCAGAAGTTGAGAAACAAGTAGCCAGAAGTAGCAGAAGTGGGTGATACTAAAAAGAAAAGAAAAAACACCAAATACAGTTGGGCAAGTAATTATCTGTCAGATTACAATTGCTCCAAATTAGAAATGTGTGGTGGAGAGGAGGAGACCAGAGATGGCTTTGGTAAGAGCGAGTGCTCATGTGAAGGGAACTGCAGAGAGTCAGTAAATTTTATTTCATTAGCTATACCTAGGGCAGAGATGGCAACTCAGAGAATTTTAGGCCACTGCAATTTTATCTGGCCTCGGATGGCACTTTGGAATTATAAGGCTGTGTGAAAAATTCTCCAGTTACAACAACTTAAAGACAAAATTGTGGTGGTTAAGAGGTTTCCCAAAATCTCCTTAGCTCGTGGTTTTGTTTGAGGGGATTTTTTTTTGGTCACCATGTGTTTTGCAGCTGTCCAGCTCTCAGTGGCATTCTCAGCCACTGCTGCCATCTGCCTTTTTTAAAAAATAAAAAACCCCCAAACACTCCAGAAGTCCCTTGCCACTATGCTACATCATGATGTAATGTCATAGTTGGGGAACTAATGGGAAAAACAGCAACTGCCAGGAAGAACTGCCAGAAACAGTTGGCAGAAACGAATAGGTTTCTCATGGCTTTTGCCTCTCCAGTCCCTCAAATGCGTGAAATGACCCAAACTTACACTCCGTGCAAATCAGATGGCAAAATGGAGAGGGCAGGTTTTGGTTCAGCCTTAACATTAAATTTCATTCTAAGTGTGGTACAGTGGTACCTCAGGTTACAGACGCTTCAGGTTACAGACTCCGCTAACCCAGAAATAGTACCTCGGGTTAAGAACTTTGCTTCAGGATGAGAACAGAAATCGCGCGGCAGCGGTGGGAGGCCCCCTTAGCTAAAGTGGTGCTTCAGGTTAAGAACACTTTCAGGTTAAGAACGGACCTCCAGAACGAATTAAGTTCTTAACCCAAGCTAGCACTGTATATCTTTTTCTCAGTATTGACTTGTGAGGAAAACCAACAAAATAGTATTTTAGCACCAGTTGAGAAGCAGCAATTTTTTTTCATCAGAAGAACACTATCTGTATGTTTCAGTAATTGACAACTCATATTGTATGGGAAAGTGGGAATGGCAAATCTCCTTAAATTGCCTGACGCTGCAAGCTGGGTGAGATGCCCTTTTTTAACACCACAGGCCAGCTGTGCATCTAAGTAGCAAGACTGTCGCCTCCATGACACGTTTAATTTTCCTCTAGAGACTGCAGACATTAATTTGCAGCATTACTGTCTGAATCAGTGAGTCATTTAAGGTGAGACAGTGCATTTCCACCTCTGGGAGTAAATAGCCAACGTTTTAACCCTAATACCGCCTAACTCGCTAACAAATGGTTGGGTAGTTGTCTTTGCTCTTTCATGCTGAAATATGCTGATACTTGAAAGATGCCTTCCAGCTTTGCAGTGCTGTGAGCTAGTCCGAGCCAACTGCCTGCAAATGGATTGTTTGGAATATAAGATATCCTGAAATGATGTACAGCACTCATTTGGGGAACTCTGCAGTTACACACATGCAGAGTTCTATGGGCTGGGTGTTCATCAGTATGCAGATGATACCCAGCTCTACCTCTCTTTTAGATCAGAACCAGTGAAGGCTGTGAATGTCCTATGTGAGTGTCTGGAGGCGGTTGGAGGATGGATGGTGGCTAACTGATTGAGGTTGAATCCTGACAAGACAGAAGTACTGTTTTGGGGGGACAGGGGGCAGGCAGGTGTGGAGGACTGCCTGGTCCTGAATGGGATAGCTGTGCCCCTGAAG